CGAAACCCAACTTTTCTTAGTATTCCTTCATCACTTTAAACGGAATAGGGTGAATACACTTCATATATATGAACTGCTGGTAGTCTGGGAACTCATTTACCGCTGTTCAAAGCACTCACAGACTTTGGATTCATGCACACAAAACTTACGATATGAAGAGAAGTTGGGTTTCGAAGAATCTCTCAAAATATTGATACTGGCGTACCTTTCATTTCGTTTTAGAAGGCCGATCTAAGGGATTCGTAGATTGGCCGCATCAGATACCCCAGAAGGGTTGCCTTGGACTTTTGTCTGTTGAACTGTGCGACGAAAGCCTCGGCTCACCGTCCTACGACCCCAATTACTTCGTGCAGAGCTTTCAGCCCTCATGTAACGAGCCAGAACCCATTATTTACGAAAAAATCACCAAAAATGCACTAAACCGAGAAAGGTGGCCAGCTGCGATCCTACTTACTTCTTATACCTCACTTTGCGATCTTAATGAGGCATTCCATGATTTGGTTGGTTCTTTTATCCTTGTCCTGCGTGCATGTAAGCGGATCAAAGGGGGGTGGGAAGGGGAGCAGATGTGGTCACAACTTTTGTATATGTAAATAACTATGCGAATATGCAAATTGAGGTACAAGAGGTAAGTAGGATCTCGGCTGGGCACCTTTCTCGGTTTAGTATTTTTGGCGAATTTTTGGTTAATAATGGTTTCTGACTCTGACGATGTCCGTCACATGATGGACGTAAGCTCAGCACTGAGTCATTGAGGTTGTAGAACGGTGAGCCGGGTTTTTTTTCACACAGTTCAACAGACAAAAGTCGAAGGCAACCCTTCTGCGGTATCCGGCGAGGCCAATCTATGCATCCCTTCGAGCCGCCTTCTTAAACGAAATGAAAGGTACGTCAGTAACAAAAAACTTAATCTGAACGACGACAAGCAATATTGCGAGGCATCTGTAAGCGATTTGGTGTAGTTTGATACGTATTTTTAAAGGAAATTCGATTGGATGGTATTGGCGAATTAGCCTCGGTGGAAGTCGAATGATTCTCTCCAACCAACCCTTCATTCGCAATGAAGGTCGTCCAAAAATGGCTTCTTGAAACGACTTCCCTTGAAAGGGGAAAAGTTGTGAAATTGCCCAGAGGAAGAGGGTGCTAGTGGTCTATTAGTTGGCTCTTCTTCTCCTAACCTTGAAGCAGTAGCTCATCTCTTCGCCGTCCCAGATGGTGCGTGGGAGAGGAAACTTCTTCCGGATCCGGTACTTGCCGACCGCCCCGAGAGGTCGTCCTCGCAGGCGTTCCGCCTCCAAATAGTGGGCACGCAACCATAGGTCCTGCAGTTGGGCGTGTGAATGTGGCGAAAAAGTGAACGTCTCGAGTGTGGCGTAGAGATCTTTGAAGCGACCCTGAACAAAGGCGACCAGAGCCATCGCCTTCTGTACGGGCTCGCAGAGACGCCGGGTCACCAGATCCGGCCCCAGGGCCCAGAGGAAATTGGCCAATCGGTCGAGGTCGCCGCGCTGCTCCAGCACTTGACAGATACAGGCCACCTGCCGCGGCGTGAAGCAGGCGACCGTGGCCGTCGTTGCCGTCGCCGTCGCCGTCGCCGTCGCCGTTGTTGGGGTGGCCGCGGTGAGGACGGTGTGTTGGCAGCAAAAGCCGGGTCGACAAGTCGAGTCTGTGAAGGGGGTCGACGACGAGTTCTCCGGCCTCGGCGGGTGGGGATGAGTCGAGGCGGGCGTCGTGGATGGCGGACTCCAAGCCGACGGGCAAAAGACGAGCTCGACGCCGGGGCGCCTGGAGATGGGCTCGTGGAGCGCCGAGAGTCCTGCCGGACAGGCCGGTTCCGGCCTCCGGGCCCCCGGGCAGTCGGCGTCGAGGCAGTTGTGCATCTCGTCCGGCGGACCGAGTCTCGCGGCTACTCGTGGCCGCGACGAGGGCGACGGTGAGGACGAAGACGAAGACGAAGACGAAGACGAAGATGAGGGCGAGGGCGAGGGTGGAAACGGGGTCGAGTCGACGTGGTGTCCGGTCGTGGTGGCAACTGCTCCGGCTCCAGGCGCCCGGTACTGGTCCACTCGCCGGAAGAGTGACATTTGATACGAGTCGGCCCAGTCGGTGTGCACACCGACGAGGCCGACTGGTCTGCCTAGACAGACGGACCGGTTGTCTGGCGGGCCAGACTGCCGATTTTGAGACCGGCCTGCTGTCCGATAGGTCAGACAGTCAGGCGGCGAGTTGGCTAGACTCAGTGCCACGGTCTGACCGTACATGTAGACATGCTTGTTGCACGCATTTCCGCTCTAATTGATCATCACAGCGTGGGGTGGTGCCGGGCGGCCACAGGCAGCCACATGTTGAGGGAGAACTCGAGCACTGCCCCATTCGCATTCAATTGGTGCACAGACAATTGGTGATCATGGCAACCGGACCAATCGGAGTGCAGTCCAACAGAAAAATGTAGATTTGAAGACTAAGATGTTGTGGCCTCTGGTATGGTCGCAGTCTCC